ATTTTAATTTATTTATTAATGATTTTTAGATATAAATTTATAAGAATAAACTTTGTATACATATATTCATAAAAACATGTAAAAATATTTTTAATCATATAATATAAATAAGAAATAATTTATATTAAATTTAATAAACTTATGTTAGAATTAAATTATATTAAAATATGTAAATAAATTAATAATAATATATATTTAATTAAATGGTTATATAATATTAAATTTAAAATTTGAAAAATATTAAATTTTAAAATTATCATAATTTTTTTTAGTGGTAATTCTTATAATTAATATATTTAAATTTTTTTTGGCTTTTAATGTGAGATTTTAAAATATTATTTATACTTAATTATAATAAGTTTTATTATGTTTCATAGTTTTTTTTTTATTTAATTTTTATCTCATACTTTGAATGAAATTATTTTTATGTTATTGTATTTAAATTTAAATAATACTTATTATTTATTACGTCATCCGGTTCGACCCCGGTTAGACCGGTCGAACCGTGAACCTCTCCTTGTTCCGGTTCGTTGTCTGGTCCGGTTTTCAAAACCTTAGTTACTAGTCTTTCCAAATTAACAGGTAACGGGTAACTGATCCATCAAAAGTTGGTTGATAGTAAATTTCATAAGTTATACATGCAGAACATTTGAATGCCTTCATGGGATTAAAAGTTATGTGGATGAACCTCTTAATCTTTTCAAATTCCAGCTATAAACTTTGGATACCTATTATACATGTTTACGATAATCATGAATACTATTTTTTCAGTTATGCAAGCCTTTTACCTATGTTCTTGCACTTATTATTCTCATTTCGCACTACTGTGGAACCAATACCAAGATCATGGACAATTTGTTTAGTTCACTTGGCTTGCTTCTTTTCTTTTTTTTGAGCTTTCTTGGTTATTTATCTTTATCCTCCTTTTATTCAATGCAAGTTGCTCTTATTATTTCCCATTGTTTTTTCAATCACAGAAGAGGAGGCTTATTACGCATGCAAATGCAAAGAGCAAGAGTGAGAAATTTCCTCCACCTCATCAGGATGGGGCACTTGGCTTCCCACTGGGCTCCTCACACTACGCTGATCCTGCTTTTGATCCACCGGAAGCGTCCTTCTCAACTGTGTTCCCTTACCAGAAAGGAACTGCAATGACTTGGTCTGGTCCTTTGCTGAATCCTGTTGCCGCTGGCAATCCAAAGCGAAAAAAACAGATAGATAGAAATGCCCGTCACTCATCTAAATCTCACAAAGGAACTTCAGAAAGATGAAATTGGGTATGATGGTAGGATATATTGACCTCCCTATGCTTATTATTTATATTTGATCATTAACTGAGCAATTTGGTAATCAAAACGCCTGTTATTGCTTGTGCATTTGAAGTCATCTTTCTTTCTCGCCCCTTTATCTTCTCTCCAATCTTCTTCCTATTTTTCCATTATCTTACTTTTTTTACTATCCCATGTTCATTTGTTATTAAACAATTGGCCTCTAATACACAGGCTTGATAGGCTTCCTCATGATGTATATGTTTCTACTTTCTCCTGCCTCTGAATTAAAGAAGAAATAAAACATTGCCAAGTTCATTAATATATTTGTACGATTATGTTCATTTTCTAGTTATTTCTTACTGAAGGGCGGTGGCGGTGTAGGCTGTCATCATGAATGGCGTTCTATTCATATATAATTAGCATTGCATTGTAACTATTTAAAATTATTGCAAGAGTGCGATGAAGTTCATCCAAGAACCATTAATTATGTTATTGCCTGCATTTTATTGGTTTTTAAGTTATTTTAATCTAAAAAATGGTCAAAATGGTCCATTGACTCTTTATGAAAGACCAAAATAGTCTCCAACTATATTAAATGACCATTTTAGTCCCTTAACTTCTTAAGAATGAACCAAAATAGTCCCACCATGAAACTATTTTGATTCCTTTAAAAAAAATGACCATTTTGATCCTTTTTCTCTTTTTAAATTATTTTGTGAGCGTGTATACTGAATTGCTTTTAGTTGGACATCTGATTTTGATTATGATATGTGTTCTAGATAAAAATTGAATGACAACAAGTTTGTAAGGACAATTTCTTTGTTAGCCTCTCTGAAATGCTGCATGGAATTAGAAAATTTATGTGGAATTCTACAACAACAACAACATCAAGTTTTTATCCCGCTACATTAGGTCGGCAATATGAATCTTTTTCATTGTGTATTGTTAAGAGTTATGTGGAATTCTAATGAATTCCTAAATTAAAATTCTGTTTCCTTTGTATTGTAAAGATTAGTTTTCAAGCAATGGATTTAGTGTGCACTTCTAAATTAATGCCTTGGACCCATTTGCAGGGCTGTAAACAAAAATCTGGAAGCTCTATTAGACAGGTTTTTGAAATGGTCATACTTGGTTACATGGCTCATTCATGAATCATGATCGTGTTAATCATTTCAAAGTTAATCTGGATTGCTGCTATATGATTCTTAATTATCCTCTAGAGGGATTGAGTACATGATATTTTGTATGTATGATAAATCCCTCTAGGAATGTTAGCCAGCGATTTCTTACATCATATAGAAATGGCATATAAATTGATAATATTTTATAGTTAGCTTTAATTAGATCTTGCTTGAGTTATTGTTAAATCAAGAAACCCAAATCAACTTCTGACCTTATACATGAAATCCATGCCTAAAGTATTTCTATTGCTGGTTTGCCTTTGCTTTGAGACCTTGAACTCAATATCCTTAGGTTTAATGGCATCGACTTTAGTGCTTCCTGCAGCAGCCCCAACAACTGGCAAACTTATGTCCAACAACTTCTACAGAAACATAGGTATAAATCTGGTTTTCTCTCCCTTGACAACTCCCTCATGTGCAAATGTAGGTGTAGGATTGGAGAATTTTTTTTATCTTTGATCCTATTGAATTGAAGTCGTTGCATCATTGATTCTTGGCTCAAGCAAGCTTGAAGACTGCCGCTCTGTCATCGATTGGTTCAATATGGGTTTCATATCCTTTTATTGATCTTTGATCCAGTTATAAAGAGCTATTTCTTTCCTTGTTGGTAGTTATGTATGGTTAAAACTCGATGGTAACTTCTAGGCTATGATCATGATTCAACTCGGAGGCTCGAATTAATGAGATAGAAACAGACAGTTAGCGGTTGATTACATTTTCGCTTCTTAATAATCTAAGTCCCATACACAGAAAGAGCCATTAAAATCTCAAATTTTTTAAATAAAATGCTATAATATCTTTTACTCTAAGCATGCGTCTATGATACATGTTCTCTCATATATTACTCATTTTAGCTAATCTAAAAGACAGAGTCACAACTCAGTGAGTATATTGTGTTTCTAAATTACAGTAAAAAATACCTTTTGAATAATATGCATGTTTATTTAAAATATAAAGTAATTCTATTTAAAATTTATTTTGAGTATGACCATCAATGTTATGTATATTTATATGTGTAACATATCATATTTTTATATTTTTTATAAATAATATAACCGTCACAGTAGACACCGTAAAAATAGTACAAATGAAAGTACTCCTTTTTCATTTCCTTTTTGTTTTTCATTTTCCTTTCCTTTTTCATTTATGTACTCGGGTATATTGTATTCCCAGTCATTAATATAAGAGGGTGTACTTCATTATTCAATATGCATATACAATCATATATATCTAGTCATTTCATTCATATAACATTCATAAATTTTATGTAATAATGTAAAATATAACATGCTAATCATTATTTAACTTATAATGACCAATCAATTGAGTATGTGAAAGATAAATTATGATTTAGCTGGTAATGAAGACTAAATAAGCAAGTATTATTGTCTTTTGATTCATTTAATTTTTAAGAGAATATAAAATAATTACTGTAATATGCTCTTTATGAGACAATATTAAATTTTATCATATGAGTATTCACTTTGAACTTAGGTATTACTCTATTTTACTCTTACTCCTTTGAAGTCAATAGATTTAATGTCTATATAAAGACCTTGTCGTTATAAAATTAATTAATAAATTGCTCTTACTCTCTCTAATTATTTAGTTAATTCACTAATTAGAATTGAATTTTAAAATATTCGTTCTCTCTCTCTATATATATTTATTTAAACAGTATTTTCTTTATTATCATATTTGATATATACTTTTACTACTTTTTTATTCTTCATTTTTAATATGTTAATTATGACTAAATATTCAAGACATTATTTGTATAATTAATTCTTTTAATTACCATTTTCAATTAAAACTCATATCTTATTTTTAATTTTAAATAATTATATATTAGAATAAAATTTTATTTTAAACATTCTCTCTTTCTCTCTTTTTATTAAATTTCTTTAATCATTTAAAATTTTTATATAAAATCATATTATAATTTATCAATATCTTAATTAAATTATCTTTATTTATTATAAATCCTTATTTAGAAATTTTAATCTTACCTTGCTTGTGTTGCCGGCCAATCCTTGTACCTCACTTCGCTCTCACTCTCTTGGTCTCAGCAAATTATTGCGTCAGGTGACCGAACGCAGAGATGCGTTCGGTCTCTCTCTGTCTACAGTAACTTGCGCTTTACTGTAGCAGTGCTACAGTAAAACGCAGGTTACTGTAGCAGTGCTACAGTAAAGCGCAGGTTACTGTAGACAGAGAGAGACTGAACGTATCTCTCTGTCAGGTGACCTGATGCAATAATTTGCCGTCTCGGTTGCCTTTACTATCCACTGCTTCAAACGTGCAACTCAAACAAACTTGAATCTCACAACAAACCCAATATCTTTTTAAGTCGCAGATGAAACGGAAGAAGCTACCGAAAGAGGTTGCCCTATCGAGCATCGCTTCCGTCGTGTGTGTCGTAGAAACCAAAGGGAGACGAAATGAAGAGTTGCGATCGAATTAAAACTGTCGCTTGGAGTCAGCGAGGGGATCTTGTCAGTTGCATTCATCCCTTAATAAAATTGAAGAGAGGGAAAGAAGGGGCAAAAATAGGAGTCTAATGTACATGTGGAATGCATGCATGAAATGAGACAGACAAACTAGTTTTGATAATATGTTGATGAAACCTTACAATTTCAATTATATTCAGATGTGTGTCAAGCTAGTAAAATATAAGATGGGATAGGTGGATAGGCTGTGCCAAGAGTGTGGATAGGATATATCAAGATACTCACTATAATTGTTAAGAGTACATTGTGATAAGGTTTTTATCAAAAAGTTTTTCACTAAGGCTTTGAATCACATCATAACATGAGATTTCTGCTTGAGTGGATAGTACAGGTGTATTTGTTATTAGGCTGGATAAAAATGATAATATTTGAAACCATCATAGGATTATAAGAGTAAGATCCTCACATCTAAGAACAATAAGTAAAGAGGTTAAAAAGATGCAATAGTGGGCGTATAAATTTAAGTTTATGACTTTTGTTGTATTGACACACATTGAAATGAACCTTGGAGGACAATGGAGACTACAAGTTTTGATTGAATTGGGAAATAATATGTTTAACAATTGAGATAAATGGATGGCCTAGTTTATATGATGCCACTCTGGCAAAGTGATTTTTGCATTGGAAAGAGCAATAAGTAGAGGTGTTTGGTGTGGGGGCTTCCCATTCATACTCATAAGGTTTTGTTTACCCCATAAAAATTATTGCTCCCATGCGTGGATTGTTTACATGAAATGAGGTGGGTAGGAACTCGATAAATATATGGTTATAATGGAAAAAATTATACACAAATAATATTCTTTTTCATGCTAGGTACATATGATCTTTTATTTAAGAGAAAGTTATGAGATGCAGAGGGTATAGAGGTGAAATCAGTATAGATTATGGGTAAACCTGGGCTATATCTAATCATAATGTTTCAATTGGACTTGTGACTGCATGAGGATATGGATTATCAAAAAATGTCGTGTGTCATGGTGGCTAGGGATTGAGTTTGTTCAAGTACTTGTAGGATTCAGTAAGGGGAAGAGATATTGAGATGGAGGATTGCATAAAATTTTGAGGGAGATCGGGCTCTTACAGGAGTTGATGAATGCGCTGTAGTGGCTATTGTATGGATGATTGTGATACTGGTAGATGCGAGCTGAGATAGAGGGTTTTGGATCACAACTCTGCTAACATTTTGAAGGTTTGAATATTGACATGAATTTTCCTTTTAAGTATTTTTAATATATAGAAGTGTACAAGGTTGTAAAAGGGAGGTCTCTCAATTTCAAATGTATGCGAAAACCCCAGTTGGAAATTAAATAAACACAGAGGGATACAAAAATAAAAATCTAACTAATTATAATAATTGCACATTTTTTCCTTTACAGAACGTATTTATGGCTTTAATTAAAGATCTGTAATAAACTGTAGTCATTTGGTGTTCCAGAACGCAAACGGTTAATTAATCCGATTAAACTGTGACACAGAGGCATAAGAGGTGGTATACGAAATATTTATATGAGTTGTTGAATATTTATTGGTGAGATATCTTTTGCATCTCCATGGACAAGTTTCTTTGCAACTATCAGATTAGCTGCCTCTGTAGGATGATATGGATCCCAATATACATACTTTGAACGATCTCCACAGAGGCTGGATGCTGGGCCACAAGCAATTATGCCTCCATGAACCCCTCCATTGCCACAGCAAGCATCACTTGCTGTTTCAAACCCTGTCACAAGATTTATTAGCATTACTAAACCTATTATATATTAAAGAAGAAGAATATAAAATATAAATTCTAACCTACCATAGGATTGATGATTTGTGATGACGTCCATTAACAGATCATACAAGTTAGCATAAAGAAAATTTGATCCAGGGAAGATTTGATTTAGTTCAGTAAGCAAATCACGCAATTTTCCATTATACTTGATAGCCAACTGGTTAGGCAATGCAGCACAGCCAGTTTCATCAAGTGGAGCTAAGGATGTTTGATAAGGAATGCATCCAATTGGAACAATACTCCCCATCACTATTTTTCTTGCATCAAGGTGGTAAAGCCTCTGCATTGATCCACAGGTTTAAAACACAATTAATTAAAATTTACACAAGCACAGTTTAATCTTTAAATACAAATTCTTGGACTGCTAATTATTTTATTCTGCTCAGTTTTTTAACTATCAAGCTGAACACAAGGTTGAGCTCATCAACGAGATGAAATATCTTATTCATGATGTCCTACTTGTTCATTTTTCTAATGAAGCATTGCTAAAACACGTGTTTTGTTTGTCACGTTTACTTATAGTCGATATGTATGTGGATATCAGTCTTTTTTTGATGACCCTAGAGAGCTTGAATGCTGGGAAATGAGCTTACTGTAAGCTGATCTTTTAGTGCAATCATGAGACGATTTATATATGCATCTGGCGCTTCGAAATCTGATATGAAAGTCAGGTAGTTGTTAAGGAAATCATTTGCTCCAATTGTGATTGAGAAAATTGCCTGCTGCACTAGTTCCCCAGCTTTAATCTTCCCTAGGAATTGATCCAGTTGTTGCCTGGTGCTGTTAAAGTAATCAATTTGAAGGTCCATTCCAAGCCTACTCACCTGTATTTATAAAAAATGGACCTCATGATGTATTGTCATACAGAACATGTGTATTTCCAATTTGTTTAAGACACATAAATATAGTCAATCGGACGTTCTTTTATAGTTACTTCGGAGAAAACATGATGCATAGTAGAGAACAATTACATATAGTGCTCCAGTTTTATTCAATATTCCTCCAGCTCCAGATGCGTAATTGACTCCATTCAGAAGAGCAGCACCGGTTGTATATTGATCCAGAAATGGAGGTGCATAATTTAGCTGTCCTATTTCTTCCCCTGGAACAAAACAGAAAATATCAGGACCTATTCTGACCATATTAGAGTATGATAGCAGCTGTAATTTTGCTAGATTAGTGTCAAAAAAAACATTGAAGCAACCTAAAATGTGAATAAAGCAAACGGACCGATAATGTCAGCAATGGTTCGGCCATTTGTGAACCGGCCAGTTGGCATGCCACCAGAGGCCTTGAAGTCGATGCCATTAGGAAAGTGATCTGCCTTCGATAGAGAAGCTAACAAGTAGTTGTTGTTTCCAGAATCCACATGAGAATCACCAAAGACGAAGATTGCTGGCGGGCGATCTCTTGCTGCACCACCCAAAGTCATCATGGTGGAGAAGAGAGACAGCATCAGTACTAATGGCAATGACATTTTTTTTTTTTACTATTTGAGCGAAAAAGTGCTTTGGTTAGGCAAGGCAGAAATAAGGAAGAGAGTTTATAGGCACACTTTTCTTCATAGTAGATAAGATTTTTAAATTGCAAGGGCGCTGCATTGCTTTAGTAGATATGGTTGGTATGAACTTTTGGCCCTAGACTAGTTACTTAATATTTTGGCGTTGGCTACAGCATAGTCTTTGCTTTTATTTGAGGAGTGCAATTTGGTGGCAAGTCAATTGGCCGTTGGGATTTAAGAGGAAGGAATGCTGACCATCAAGTGGCTAAATCTGAACAACTTATAATGTTTCATTTATTATTATTATCATTATTTTACCTTCATTTTCGTTTGAGTTTTTTTTTTTCTTTGAAAAAAATTGAGTAAGTTGGGTTTTTATCTATTAAATTTATTCCACTATTGTTTATACTGATGAGCTATACCAAAAAACGAAGGCTAATTATTGCTCAGAGGCCGAATTCATTCAACTAATCTAGAAGTGGTATTCTTGTTAGGCAAGTCATCTTATTGTTTGGATTTTAGAAATCTTATTGCATCCAAACTTGTTGTATCAAATTTGTTCTCGAACTTAAAAGAATTGGCTTAGTTTGTTAAAATTTAAAATCACTCAAATTGAGGCCGCGGGGGCGCAGAGCTCCATAAATTAAAACTCACTTGAAATATTTTCTTGCCAATGGACGATTCGGAGGTGGCAGGTGGACTTCTCTAAGCCATGCAAGAGGCAAGGCGAGTTGATGCCTTAGGTGTTTTAGGATGACTTGATGTCTGTATTGACCACCTCCTGAGCCTGACAAATCAATTCTCTTGATTGTTTTCTTTCTCGAAGAAAGAATAAAAGCACAACATACTCTTCTATAATTTATTTCTGTTTGATTCTCTTGGCTATGATAAATTTGGGGGGCCAAATACCAACACATTCTTTCCCAATGGTTAGTCGTTGTTAGTGACATTATGGATGAGTGATTGTGAAGTCCTCACTGGTTTGCATAAGGTAGAATATTGGTTATCAACAAGTATTGGGATGGTTCAGAATATGCACTAGATGGTGTTTTAGAGGTCGTATAATAACAATACATTATTAAAAAGTGTTTATGTGATTAATGGATCAATAAATCCTTTATATTTCTCTAGTTGGGAGCTTTAAATTTTGGTGATTATAACTAGTAGGTTTTTAACACCTAATATGGAGTGTACATGACAAATAATTGTCCTCTAATATGCATATGAAAACTCTAACTCCGGACTATTATTATAATCTTATTTTAATTAAAATAATAAAATACACATTTTATTTATATATTAAATTAATATATAACTAAAAATAATGAAATTATTTATAAACATGAATAAAAATTTTATGATATTAGTGGTAAGATAAATAGTTAGAGTAAAAAGATATTCAAAATTTTCATTAAAATACAATTATTTTTCGCAAGAAATTATTACATATTTACTGAATATTTATTTATAAATAATTAATAAATGTATAATAAATACATAATAAATTAATAAATACTCAATGAATATTTAGCAATACTCGCAGCTTGAACATTGCAGAATAATTTCTCTGTTTTGATCGGGGCTTTTAGAATTTAGACCCATCTTATAGTCCCATCTGAACGAACGCTCCATCGGTCCATCCCATCCTCCAGTATTTCCTTACTCCACAGCCAACCAAACCTCCACCTATATACTCCCTAAGCCCTATAGTTCCTTACAGTGCCAAACAATGGTCTCCGCCGACGCCGACGCCAACGCCAACGCCGTCACCTGCGACTTTTGCGATTCGAAGCGTGCGGTGGTTTTCTGCCGCGCAGACTCTGCGCGCCTCTGCCTCGCCTGCGACCGCGAGGTCCACGCCGCTAACACTGTCTCGTTCCGCCACAACCGTTCTCTTCTCTGCGACAGCTGCGCCTTTGCCCCGGCAACTATCTTCTGCCCTACCCCTCCCCACCGCCTCGTCCTCTGCTCTAGCTGCGATTTCAACGCCCACCAAGCTGACGACCACCGCCACGACCGACGCGCCATCGATCCCTTCACTGGATGCCCCGCCGGCGCAGTCCTTGCTGCCGCCCTTGGCCTTGGAGACGACAAGGGTTCACTCCCCGACAAGGTCGAAGAGGACTGGGACTTGGCTTGGGAGGTGCCGCAGGTGTTTAGCTGGGATGATCTGATTTCACAGCCTACAACAACTCCTTTCCATGGGTTTCAGGCTATAGGGATCCCTCCGCCTCCAAAGGTACGAAGGAAATCGTATGATTTTGTTTTTTGTTTTTTCCCCGATTACTTTATTGATTCTGTCTCCTGCTGTTTAGCATCTTGCTGGTGACATTGCTCTTGCTGAACGTTTGTCTATTTATTTCTGGATTTAAGATTTCCGGTGGTAGAAATCTTTAATTCCTGCGAATTTTGTGATTTAAAGAACCGATGGATTTAATCAATAATGGGGCTGAAATTAGATATTTAAAGTCTCCAAGATTCTTTTTGCAGAATTTGTAAATCTTGCTTGAATCCTGTCTCAAATAAGATATTAGCTTCAAATAAGATTCCAAGGGGGCTGTTTGGTTATAAATAGAATTTAATTTAAGTATGCAACTGTTCTGATTATACACAGCTCACCTTAGCCTGTTGGTTGAGAGCTTAGGCTTCCAACTAAGAGGTCTTGGGTTCGAGTCTTTGTGTATGCGTTGTGTGTGTGAGTTTGCCTTAAATGGCCTAAATGTCCAAAATAAAAAAAAACTGTTCTGATTATCTTGGATTGTCTATTCACCAGGATAAAACTTCATCTTGTGGGAAACGTGAGGACGAGATACACCGCCAGATTCGTAAACTAATCATAAGTGAAACTGATGGTGTTGATTACAGCGAGGAGAATGTGCCAGTTATGGAATGCAAATCTTTGCAGCTGGAGAATCTCCAACTAGGAAAGTTAGATAATGAGTACGGTTATGCTCCGATATTTGTAGAAATACCCAGCTGTGAGGTCTGCTTCTTACCTTTTTTAATTTAGTGATTACATTTCCTCATCTTTTCTTATAGTTGATATGTATTTTGAGTGCGTGGTGCTACAAGTTAGTAGGATGTTTAATTTGTAATATTTAGTTTCTGTACATACATATCTAATAAGTTTTCATAAGTGGAATAGCAGTATAACACATGTATGTATTCAAATGCAAATCTATACATTGATATTGATATACATATATAAATCTATATACATATTAGGAAGGGCAGTGGACTAGAAATTCTATGGAGCAAGATTTTCAAAAAACAGATCTTAGAATTTCTTTTTCTTAGTAAAGGATGCCTTCTTTTTAGTTGATGCATCAAATTGGAGGTTTTATTGTGAGTTATTTTGTTCCTATAATATGCCTTATCTTCATCCTATGTATCAGGACAGAGTTTATAAAAAAAAATTCTTATTACTTAAAAGTGTTTTTCTTTCCCTGATGCATCAAGATCAAGTGACTTTTAAATCAAGTAATAATAAAAAATAAAAATTCAAACCCATTTAATTTGACTCCCATGATTTATGTACTTGGGTAATATTAGTTTAAGAAGCATCTACCCATGTAATTAATCTTACACATCCCAAATTACATGTGCAAATAAATTAAACTAAGAATGTGTTAATGTAAATTAAATAACTTTGATCGAGGAATGGTAAATAGGCTGATTAAATTTTGGTAAAATTTTCTAATGAACTGTCATAACTAAAATGTCAAAAAAAAAAAAAAAATATATATATATATATATATATTTATTTATTTCATTTGACTAGAGCAGCCATTGTCAACATATTGGTTATGCTCGACAAATAGCATTGTGAATTTTAATAAGTTCAAATAAAATGCATAAATGACGAGTTTTGTTAAATTAATAAGATCATGTCTTTGTTGAGTTATTTCTAGAACTAGACCGTGCAACTGTGTCAAATTAATTAAATATTGTCTTTAAGATTTAAATTTTATTTCAATATTTTAAGGATGGAGTACTCGTTTGTGACTTTGATTGTAGTAATCTATGATGCACCGACACACCTCTTGAAGAGAGAATGTATTGTCGGACACATGTCAGACACAGACATGTGCCCGATCCGGCAGAGACGTGCCCGATTAAAATAATGTTTAAATTTAAGTGGACACGTGTGTCCTAATTTTTTATGATAAAATTGTTTTAAATTATAAAATTTTTATATTTACTAAATCAAATAGAACTTCACATTCGCTCGTATATGCATCAATATGAGCTTGTCATATGCCTTAGGGTTTCTGCCCCTTGCTCTGTCTCTCGCAGCCCCTCCTGGTGCCGAACTTCCCTCCTCTCGCCGCCTATAGTGCTTGCCGATCGCAGGCTTTGCTCAAGTAGACACCGACCTTCTCGTTCCAGGATGAAGCCCCTGCATCCTTCACCTCTCTCGCTTGAGCAGAACCCGACCGATTTCCCCACATATGCTCTCCCTCAATCTCATGCAGGAAGACCTGCCAAACCCCTCTCCTCCTTTGTCTTTTTGGCACGCATAGCAAATTGAAGCCCGTGCTTGGCCTCCGACCTCAGGCCCGAACTCGAGTTCCGCTCCAGTTGCCAGACTCGACCTCCTCCGAGCCTCCTGTCAGTCTGACCATCCCTCTCTCCCGCAGATATATTTCCTTCCCTTTCTTCCTTCTACTCTTCCTCTTCTCCATTCCCTTCTCTTTCTTAGCCCTTCATTCCTTGTGCATGCTCATTACGCTTGAAGCTATGTTGTTGCACCTAATTTCCTAGTCATCAATGCAGTAATAACAGGAATTCCAGTCTCTGTTGCTAGAAGTTTGATGGTATATCCGACATTGTTTTAGGGTTGCTTAGCTTTGTTATATTTTGCATGATTATTAGGAATGAATCTTTTTTTATTTTTTTGAGAGGTAGTAAAGATTATTGAAAACCTTTATGTCTATTTATGTTTGCAATTTTTAATGACATGTAATAAGAAAAATTTTTATTATGTCTGAAAAATCTTTATGTGCATGCCTTATTGGTGCATCTTGTAATCTTTATTGTGCATGCCTAAAGTACTTAAATCTTTTTTCTCTATTTTATATTTACATGTAATTATCTCACCATTCTTCCTAAAAAATTATTTGTCAACTTAGCATTTGTAGTCTTTTCACACTATGTCATAGCATTCTTATATTTGCCACACTCAAATAGGTTTTCATGGATATATTTATCACATGCTCATCCCCATAAATCATAATCATCTAAACATGGTTGTACTAGACATTTTGTACAAAATATTTTATATTTTAAGCTAGACAACTTATCATGACATTCATTTATTATTATTTTTCATTTCTAATATGATGTTATATTAATTTCTATACATCATATACAAAAATTATAATATCGTGTTCGCGCCGTATCCATATACCTGACGTTTCGTGTCTGTGTCGCAGTGTCCGTGCATCATAGGTAGTAATATATCTAGCGGGGGGTTGTGACTTTGGGCGATCAAGTCATTAATAATAGTACTCTTTTTAGATATCTTGGGTTTATTGTTCAGAGTGATGCTGAAATTGATGGAGATATTATTAGTAGAATTCAAGTTGGATGGTGAAGTGGAGGAATGCATTGGGCTTGTTGTGGGATAGAAAAGTACCACTCGAACTTGAGGGAAAATTCTATAATATGATGGTTATACCTTCAATGTTTTATGGTGCAGAATATTGGCCATTAAAAAAGAAGCATAATATTAAGTTAAGTGTTTTAGAGATGAGGATGTCAGGTGGATGAGTGGCTACTCTTAGAGATAGGATACGAAATGAACAAATATGTTAAAAGGTTGGAGTAGCTCTAGTGGTAGATAAGATTAGAGAGAGTCGCCTTAGATGGTTTGATCACATAAAATGGTTGGTTTCCGATGATCCGGTTAGGGGAGAAGATGTATTAGATTTGACCTATGTTAAGAAAGGTAGAGTAGACCTAAAAAGACTTGGTTGGAAAATATTAGAAATGACCTTTCTTTATTAGATATAAATAAGAATTTGACTCTTAACAGGACACAATAGAGAAATAGGATTCATGTAGTCGACCCCATCTTAAAACAAGAGGGTTGAGAAGAAAAGCTTGCTTTATTACATGATTTCTCCTCTATTTATGGATCTATACAAGATACGTTAATATGAAAACAAATAATTACAAAATAATTCTAATATAATCCTTCATAAATCAGTAGCTCGATATGGAATAACTTCTGACGTGAGTCTTGTGCCCCATGGATTGAGCACTGTAGCAGTTGGATTGGTTTGCTCTTGAAAGGCTGGATTTTGACACTCCCCCTCAAGCTAGGAAGTATTGGGGGATTTGGATTAGCGCGGCTAGGGTTGGGCTAGCGGAGTCAACAACTATGGAGGGGGACGAGCTTGGGGGTTTAGGTGGAGTAGGGCTAGTGGGTGGGTCTAGGGACGATGGTTTGGGTAGGGGAAAGGGGTGGCCGGTGGTGTGGGAGGAGGGGTGGCTGGCTGTTTGGGGTGGAGATGGGGAGGAGGCCAGCTGCTTGGAGAGAAGAAAAAGAGGGAGGAAAGGTAGTGGAAGAGAAACCGAGAGTCCGGATACTTTCTACGGCTGGCGGGAGTTGCTTTTTCCCTCACCTAGGGACTTCACCTTTCTCTAGAACTCTCAACACTCAAGGGAACTAGAATGCAAACATTTTCATTAATTATCTCCCTCATACAATAGTTAGGGCCCTCATATATAGGCCTCAAAAGCAACAAAATATACAAAGACTTAAATGCCCTCTGGGCTAGAACATAAACTAATCCATCGTAGGGGTATAATGGTAAATACTAAAACATATAAAAAATAATACATAAAACACTTCATAAATAAAGACTCCTAATCGTAGCCGTCAATCTACGATTCTTCCCATGATAGATGCGCCATAATTTCCTGCTGATGTCCTCATTATTCTCCCAGGGTGGGAGAATGATCGACCTTGTCGAGTAAGCGTCACAAGTGCCTTCACACAACTCTAGAAGGTCAGGGTCCAATCTCTGTAGCTCATCACGATCAATCCACGAGTTCTCCGTCTCCGATTTTTCTTTCCATTGAATTAAATACTTTTGGCGCTCACTTTCTTTGGTGGAAATAATTTTATCATTAAGTATTACTTCAATTTTTTCCGAATTAAGTAAAATAGAGATATTTGGCAGTGGAGGTAGGCTAGGGTTCTCACCAGATAGGGTCACACAAGGCTCCATATTTAGTGAATTTGTGGGGTTAAACTCTGGTCCCTCAAAGGCTATTAGATCTTCGATGTTAAACGTAAGATTCATGTTAAAACATTCAAGTAGGTCTAGCACATAAGCATTACTATTTATTTTGATATTATTTTAAAATGTCCCGCACTTCTAGCATGTATCTTTTTAACGGTCCATTGTGGGAATCATTTCAAACGAATCCATCTTATTACAAAATTTCCAACCTCGAATTCTTTAAATCTTTTTTTAAGATCCGAATTAAATTTATAATTAACATTGCTTTGTTTAATCTTTTTATTAATTTTCTTGTACAATTCCTGGAGATGCAATACAAATGCAGATGTAGACTCAAATGCTCTTAACTTAGGACACATAGGGATCAAATATATAGGCTGTCTAGGTTGATACCCGTACACAATTTCAACGGGACTTAGACCCGTGGTTCGATTAACAGAGTTATTATAAGTGAACTCAACTGTAGGAAGTTTGGAGTCCCAATTTTGAACATGTTCTCTTACCAAAGTCTCTAAGAGATTGCCTAAACTCCTATTAATAACTTCAATTTTCCCGTCAGTTTGGGGATGCAAAGTGGTGAAAAATTAGAGCTTAGTACCCATTTTATGCTACAAAATCTTCCAAAAATAACAAGTAAACTTGACATCTCGATCAGACATTATAGTTTTAGGTAACCATGTAACCTAACAATTTCATCAAAATATATCTCGCAATTCGAGAAACATCAAAA